GCTTCAGTTCGGTCAATAATAGCTTCTTCTTTGTTGATTTCTTCAGTATCTGCCATACCATGTGGCAGATCTGAGGAACCAGCTGGAGCAGATAAACAAACTACAGTGTCTATCGATGGAGTTTCACAAGCAGATGACACAGGTGGCGGATCAGAAATGGAATTAGAAACAAGTGATGTTTTGTTAAAAGCTGAGATAGTTGGATTAATGGAAAGATCAGAAAAAAGTGAAGAGTTAGGAGTGGAAAAATTGGAATAATCATTCATGCTATGATTTAGTTTAGAGACAGTTTGAGAAGAATGAGAAATATCTTCTTGATCGGAAAATTTAGTGCTGCATTCTTGTTTATTATCTATTTTATATGTAGTTTGAAATTTTTGAAGTTCTTCAGANAAATGTCGTAGTAATATAGTCGTGGTTTTTTAGTTTAATTTTATGCCTATGGCTTATAGTGGGAAAGAATTTGTGTGTGATATCACCTTTGTTGTCTAGGGACCAGCGGCCTTCCCACAGCCTGGTTGACCTCCGACGCAGAAGACTTTTCGCATGGGAGAGGGGAAGAAAATCGAAAGCTATAACGCCGTTAGAGTAGGCGGAAGTGGCCAGAGAGTCAGCCAACACATTACCGGGGCAGGAATTGTGTGCCTTGACCCAACAGATCGAAGTGTTATAGGAGGCAACACAAGTTTTAAATAGACTGTAAATTTCAAAGTTAAGTACGGTGGATATTTTTGGTTTCTTAAGATAAGCTATGACTGTTTTGGAATCGGAACATATTAGAACATTGTGTATCTTATTTTCGATTATATAATTTAGGCTGTTTCGAACGGCAAGTACCTCTGCTTGTACTATGTTGCAATCAGGATGAAGTTTATAGTTTGTTTTGTAGACTACATTCCTGCCTGATAAGGAATGCGAAAGCAGCACCCGTGCCACGAGGACTGTTGGAACCGTCGGTATAAATGCGCAATTCTCGTGACGCGTCATATTCGGTTATGGCAAAATCGCGATTGTAAGCGGGGTGAGGAAGCTTAGCTGCCGACTCCTGAGTGGCGAAAAGGATGGGTTCCTCACCAATCGAAGACAAACCGGTAATTTTGATATGATAGTAATCATAGCGTGCTTTCAGCTCAAGGTCCAAAGGGGTTTTGTTGGCAATTACGAGAGCCGAACCTCGTGAAATCGTACGATAACCTTTTATAATTTTGATACATATTCGTCTTTGAAATTTTAGAAACATTTCCCTGATTTGTTGGTGAGAGAGAGAAGCCCCCCAGACACCGATGCCGTAACTCAGGATGGGTAAAACGACTGCCTCATAGATAGTTTCAAGTGTTTGTGAATTTAGACCCCAATTTAATCTAGCTATTTTCCTAAGGGATAGTAAGAGCCTTCGCAATTTGACCTCTCACGTGAGGGCACCAGTTTAATTTTTTATGTAATTCAATTCCCAAGTATTTCAAAGTGTTTACGTATTCCAGACGTTTTCCATTTAATGTTAATGTCAGTCTTTTGAATTTTAATTTTCGCGTTATAAACATTATTTTTGTTTTATCTGCATTAAAGCTTAGTTTAGTATCAGCAGCCCAAGCCTCTAAGTTTGCCAAAATGCTTTGGGCCTTCTTTTTGAGTTGATGTTCTTTCTTGTCTGTTACCGTCACTAAGAGGTCGTCCGCAAAAGCAACGAGATCGCTATCATCTGGAAGATGTAACCTGAACACAGTATTTAGTAGAATATTCCAAAGAGGGGGTGCGGCGGCCGAACCCTGGGGGACACCCAATTTTATAAATTTCGTGACCGTTTCCGTGTTATGGGTTAGCTGAACCGTCCTTTCTTTAAAGTAGCTAACTAAAAGATCGTAGAGATTCTTTGGAACCTCTGCTTTTCGAAGTTCGTTTAGTATTAGCGGTGGCCATGCCGTGTCAAATGCAGACGAAATGTCCATAGAGATGACGATACATATTTTTTTATTATCAAGAGCGTCTTTCATGCGGTCTCTGACTATTATTAGGGGTTCCGTGGTACTTTTCTGGGGAGTAAAGCCAAATTGATTGTTACTTAGGTAATTCTTTTTAGTTAAGTGATGGGTTATTCTATTTATCATTAGCTTCTCTAGGATTTTCCCTAGCACTGGAAGTAAACTTATTGGTCGAAAAGATTTTACAGAGTCCAAACACCTCCCTGGCTTGGGGATGAGCCAAACAATAGCATGTTTCCACGCTGTCGGAAAGCACCCGGAAGACAGGCAGCGGTTAAAGATGTGGGAGAGGATACTGGGGTCTAGGTTAAAGGCGTTTTTAATAATTTCTGCATTTAGCCCGTCATGGCCGGGGGATTTCTTACTATGCTGGGCCGAAACAACTTGATTTATTTCCGAAATATTAAAAGGCAAGTCGTTTTCCTTTGAGTAAGGGGTTTCAATGATTTCTCTGATCTGCCTGTGATAGGGGGAATCGGATGACGGGTCGTCCGAGAGAAAGAAAGTATTTATAAAAAGGCTGGCTACCGCTCTATCATCATATAAAGTTTCGCCTGCGGAATTTTTGATGGATAACTTGGTTATGTGGGTCGAGAAGTCTTTCCTTAATAGTTTATAGACGCGGCTCCAAGGGGAGGAATTGCCTTCAATCGTGCAGAATTTCTTCCACGACTCAGTTTTGGATTCTTTTATTAGTTTTTGATAGTCCCTTCTGGCAGCTTTATATTGCTCGCGAGAATCGCTATGATCTGGACCATTGGTTCGTTGGAATTTGCGTCTTAATCTATTGACACGACGCCTGGAGACAGTCAAAGCGTCAGACCACCAGGGGACAATTCTTTTGTAACTTTTTTTTAACAGGAATGGAGTCATTCGCGGAATTTTGTAGCAACTTTGTATATTCATGGACTAAATCATCCACAGGAGTATAATGATTCATTTGAGAATTGAGAGCAGAATTGCCTTCGACGAGCAATTGACTAAACATATTCCAGTTGGCTTTTTTGATATTATAATTTAGTATTCTTTGGACAGGAGGGGTGGAGAGAGGGCTTAGGATTAAATCGAAAGTTATGTATCTGTGTCCAGAGAGGGTTTCTTCTAGAAGGACTTGCCAATTTATAATAGAATTTCCTATGCTTCCTTTGGAGAGTGTAAGGTCGATATAACTTTCGCCCTGATGTGCGCTGAAGGTTGGGATGTCACCAGAGTTATGGATATTGAAATCTAGGTCATAGATAAATTCTAATAGGTGTTCGCCTCGCTCGTTCCGAAGTCTGTCGAACCAAACGGGTGACCGACCATTTCCGTCGATTCCGATAATTAGGGGAAGATGGACAGACGAGAAGATAGAATGAATGGCCGAGAGTTGATTAAGAATTTGCCCAGATGGAGCGAGATACGTGGAATTTAGAATGAATTTGTAGTTTCGTAGGTTTATTAGGACTGAGGTGGAGAATTCGTTCGACAGTTCCGGAACGAGCGAGGCGCTAATATTATTGTTAAATACTAGGATCGCGGAAGCTAAACCTAAATTGAGACACTCGACACCTCCCGGAACATTAAGTATCCGTGAAGTGGCGTAGGGGTCTTGGATTATCGCTAGATCGAAGCAGTGGTCAGTCGCGACTTTAATGAGATGGTCCGTGGCCGTCGCGCAATGATCTAAGTTGATTTGGATGAGTTTCAGCGCCATCTTGATTAATATATTAACGAAGCGCTTGTTGTAGAGGTTTTTACTTTCTGGTCGAGGCTATGCTTAATTTCACTTGATACTTGTAGACCGGGCAGGTACGGCTCCAAGCGGTGTGCCTGGGGTCCACACGGTGATTTGGCTGGCGACACGATGCATTATATCGTAGGCAGTTGATGCAGTGGAAGTCCTCTGGTTCAGCCTGGCATTCCCTCGACGCATGATGCTCTGAAGCACAGAAGGAACAGTGAGGATTCTGGGAGCATGTAGCCTTGGTGTGTCCGTATCTCCAGCATACAGAACACCTCTTGTAGTAGTAAAAGTCGTGTATTTTCCTAGTTGACCATCCCATAAAGAGCTTATCATTCTGCTCGGCCAGCTGCCTCCTTAGCTCGGGAGAGATAACAGCAACCCACGAGCGTTCTTGATTCTCCTCCTTCCCCATAAAGAAAACATGTTTAATGTGGTCGGGGGGAAGGGACAGACTGCCTTAATTGAGTAGGCATTCCTTAATTTCGGCTTCCTGGACCGACCAGTTTATTTTCGGAAGGATAATTCTGGGATCCCTCAATCCAGGACTACGCACATTGACGTCTTCCCTTGTCTTTAGTGTTTCTGATAGGCGTTTGGCACCCTCAGAACTGTTGCAGTTTATAGCGTAGCCATTTCTAATTTTTCTAGTGGCTTCTATACCGACTCCTATTTTCGTCGGATTAATATCTTTCTCCAGGTCTTGCATTACTGTTTCGATATTTCCCTCTTCTTTCGGATAAATTAACACTACTCTATCGTTAGAGGGTCTGGGTGGTCTTTTTACCACTTCAGCATAAGATTGTTTCCCCATTTGTGGGGTTGCGTGGCTCGTGGAAGCCGAAATACGAGAATTTTCGATCTGTTTTTCGAGGTCCTGGTTGTGAGAGACGACTTTCTCTAGGGAGTGTCTCAGTTGTTTGAAGAGGTAGCTTGCCTCGTCCAGCTCGTAAATAATTTTGTCCTTCAGCTGCTTGCTAAAGTTTCTGGAGAGGTCTAGGGCTTCTTTGGCACCTGCGATTCGTTCTGTGAATACTTGGTCCAAAGTTTCGATGCTCATTTGTTCCATTTTTACTTACACTTCTAATTGCTACCGCTACTTGCAAGGTATAAGACTGTTCACTTTCAAGAGTAGACTCCAGTAAAGTTTCATTAAAAAAATAGCTTAATATACAAAAATTAAAGTTGCTTATGCAAATACAATCAACCCTCAAAGTCAGTCAACCATAATTTAAAATAAAATAAATACTATTGATTGTCAAAGTTTAAACTATTTAAATTTTAGTTAAATTTCTTACCTCTGTGTCTATTTCCAATCTTGTTAAAGGAGCTTTGATTTTGATGCCTTTTAACAATATCACATTAATAACCACTTGATCCTTAAAATATTAATGTTAATTAAATATTGTAAATTTTCATGTGCAAAACTCAAATTATAATAATACCTGAGAATATACAACAGAATGACCTGTTTTCCTATCATGTCCAACAGCTTTTGCTGTCAATGTAGTTTTCCCCAATTTTGAAGCAGTGATAATTCCTGCAGTGTTCACTGATGCAATATTTTGTTCTAAAATGCTATATTCAACATTAGATTGAGGTAGAGGTCCACCAGAACATATCACCTATAAATTAATTATTTTATTGTATAAATCTGGGAAATTTATAAATTTATCTATAAATAAATCTTACTTGAAATGTTGCTCCTACAATCAATGTAAGATTTTTTGGTTCAATACGAAGAGGTGGAAATACCTTAAAATATAAACTTTTCTCTTAAAATTTTAACAAAGGATAATTTTAAATAAACGTTAAATATTAATTTATGCCTATTAAGCTATATACCGCTTCAATTTTTCACATATTTACCAATTCAATCATTATTTATATAAATATGAATAGCATTGATATTTGATTTTAATAAAATAAAGTGTATTGAATTCTGCTAATAAAATCACAATGGAAACTATTGAATCATAAACAATTTTGATTGTGATTTGGTTAATTATATTAATTAATAACTTAAATAAATTTCAAATTTTCACAAGTTATTGATTGATGTTTTCAATTTAATTTGTACAATTTTCAAAATGGACATATATATATTTATATAATAGTTTAACTACTAAAAGTCTTGTGCTAAAACTGTTTAAAATTTATTCCAGCATCAAACTATATGTATGCATATACAATGTGACAATACAAGTAAGTTGTGACTAAACCAAGTATTTTTTGAAGGTATGCAAGCATAATATAATATTAAGATCAAATTAGCAATATATAGTATAATTACAACAGTTATACTATATTTCTTAAAATTTAAGATGCCTTTTTTAACATTTCCAAACTTAAAATATGGATGTATCTTAATGTTTTCTTTAAAATATTCAACTTTTAAAAGGTCTGTATTCCATGAAAATTTTATATTATTTCTTGTTTTTTACTGTGGAAAAAAAATTAAATTAGAAGTAAATGGTTAAATGTCATTAAAATTTTTAGATCTAGATGGGATTCAAATATCATTTTATCAATTTAAATACATAGGAATAAAGATGTATTTATTTTACTTCAAAGTAAATTGAATTAATGATGACTGTTAGGCTGCATTCACACTGCCAATGACAAAAACTGATATTTTTATTCTTTGTAAAATGTTCACACTAGTTGTTATTGCTGCATTTTCATCTTAGTCATTCATCATTTGAACATTACTTGAGATTCATCATTTGTCGTCTTAATGATAGTGGCCAATCAATATGAACTTCCTACAATTCCTAAATCTTCCTAATCTCATATGTTGAAGAAAGACCTTGGCTCTAAAACATGTCTAGAAATATATAATAAAAAAAGCAGTTGTCAACTTTACTCTGTGTAACCACTTTTAAAACAGATGAATATGGTCTAAAAGTATGGAAATCTATGGAATAATGCTAAGCCTAATGTAAATTGCACAAGCTCTAACTTGAAAACCAATAAACAGTGTGAATACTTTGGTGATGAATGAAAACAATGAAAGACATTCCATCATTATTGTTTAGGAACTGTGGTCATTGTCACTGGCAGTGTGAATGCAGTCTTACTTAAACAGATACAATTAATTGTAATATTAATTCTGTAAGAATAATACATTTGATAAATAAATAGCAGCTGAGTTTGTTTTATGGAAATATTCAACCATTTAGTTTGGATAACCAAAGGTAAAAACTTTTTTGTTAAAAAGTGATTAATTACATTTACATAATCATTAATATCTTAAATATTCATATTAGTTATTTTTCAAATATTTTGAATAAAAAAAGACAATTGAAAAGAGTAAGTCTGAACACCACTATTAGTTTTTTAATGTTAATTCTAAACTTAACAATAAAAGGTTTTCAAAATGATATCTAAGGGAACTTTTAATTACTTTAAGTAAAATAAAGAAAATGTTATTACTTGTATAGGAAAGGATTCACTAGAAATGGTTTTTGTACTTGATTCTGCATCAGTTGCTGCAGTGAAAATTACAGAAGTATGACCAAGAGAAAGTCCAGTTATCACATAAAATGCCTGATATTGATTATCATCTTTTACTGCTTCAGATCTAAAAGAATTTTAAAGTTATTCTGTAATATTTAAATAGAGGGGGGAAAAAATCAACATTTATGTAATAATCATAAAATTAACATACTTAACTGCTATGATGTTTGACGTCAAGATTGGTTTCAAATTAATAAGTGGAAACAATGATGTTGGTAAACGATGACCTTCTTCATCTAATATTTCTAATGTTGCTGTAAATGATTTTCCAAGTTCAACCTAAATATAAAAATATATTTTTCATAAAAATTTAAAAGTAAAACAGGATTAAATAGCAAGTGCATTATACCTTATCAACCATATGTATTCGAATAGCTGAAATGCCTGAAATTTGAATTTGGGCAGCGATGGTCTTTCGAGCTTCCAAACACATATCATGAACTGTGAGAGTAAAACTTCCATCTTCCAATGGAGCAATCTAAATCATCAAATATTAAAATTTACAATTTTATTTAATACATTTTAAATTTTAAACAAAAAGAAAACAATTACCTCAATTTTTCTTGTAGCCTTAACATATTGAACTTTAGCTTTTTTATTATTACTCATATCTATATAAAACTGACCAGATCCTTGCACTATATTTAAATAATTCTGAAATAAATTTAATAGATATTATTAGACGTTGTTCATAAATATTTATTTATTTCGGAATTAAAGGAAACTATATATATAAAATTATTGAAAATTTTTATCATCGCTAAACTAATATTCTTGTAATATTTTCTGCATTTTCATAAAATTTTTATAAGGAACTTTATTGAAAAGCTTTCAAATATTATAATAATTAAAGCTTTTTCATTTTTTTGCAGTGATCAGATATTTTAAAACTCTTAAGTAATTACAGTTAGAAGCATTAATTAACTAATATTGTGTGTTTGAACTTATAATTCTGAATTGTTCACATTAAATATTTTCCAATCATAATTTTGAACCATAGAGCACTAGTTAAAGAAATTAATACTTTAATTTGATTTTTAACATTTAAAAAAATGTTCATCATACGATAAATAGATTTTGTTTTAACAGCTTTATCAAGCTATCAAATTAGCAGAATAAAATATGTCTAGATGAAAAAAAAATCATGTTTTTTGTTTTGTCCTCATAATTGATGTTGAAAAATTGAATGGATAAAAGAAAAACACAGTGTACTAATAACTCTAAAATATCTAAAAAAAACTAATTATATTATAAAATAAGAGCAATTATATCACATTTAGTACAAAATATTGAACATTAACGATCTATTTAATGTTACAAATAAAAATTGTAACTGTTTATTTCTGTTAAATTGTTTTAATTATAAACAATAAAAACCAGATAATATCTTTTATAATATAAATATTTTAGTCCAAATAATTTACTGAACGAAAACATTTTTATAATATAAAAAATTAACAATATAACTGTTTTAACAATTCAGAAAGAATTATGTTTTATAATGTAATTCTGTCAGTATTAAATTAAAAATGAAATAAAAATACATAATTAGACATTTTAACTATAGGGTGGGAAAGAAAGTCACTTAACATCCCTGCTACAGAATATAGAATGTATCCAAAGAATGTATATATTCAGCAGGTTATGTAACATGCATAACTCTAACTGTTTGAGGTAGGTCAATAAAATCTTTCAACAGTCAATTCCTTGTGAAATTCTGACCCTAAATGGTCTGTTACATGACCCCCTTCCCATTTACAGTTTCAGAATTGCATTCAAGATGGCGGCCATGCATGTAACACATATCAATGTGTTCCCCCTTGGTCTAATGTGTTTCTGACATGAGCAAATTAACTTTGGGTACATTCTATATTCTGTAGCAGAGGTGTTAAGTGACTTTCTTTCACACCCTATAGTTTGTTTATTAAGATTTTAGCACATTGCCCTCAATTAACCAAGAGAAGCAACAATTTATTTTTAAGGCTTTACTTTTATTGAAATAATTTTTACTATTTCAATAAAAATTTGACATGAATTCTCATTTATTTTTGTTTACAAATCTGAATTGTGAAATTAGGTGTGAATGGTAAGATTAAGCAGGCAAATTATATTACAGTAGAAGTTCATTAATATTGGAACGATATAATATTTCTATGTTAAATTTGAAACTTATTTTATAAAAAAGTTGAGGAGAACAAGAAACAAATGTTTTCTTTTTGACTGTTAGTTCCTGAGAGAGATCATTATCTCTCCTGTGACTAAATATCTGACTAAATAAGACTCATCTTGACATCCCGTCAGATAGTCAAAATACTTAATTCTCATTGGAAGAGAATATTAGTATAAAAATAGTTTATTACAACACCACTCTTATTCTATAAGTGCTAGCATTTATAGAACAAGAGTGGTGTTGGATTAACATTTTTTTTTTTGTATTTTGCAAAATTTTATTCTTAATATATGATCCAAATATAGACATTGCTGTATATTTTGTATCAATACAAGTTGCTACATGCTTATGATTTGTTTATGCATGCTCTTTAATCAGTCTGAAGATTATACAGTGCATTACTATACTGTGTATACTATTTTATTGAAAACCTGCAAACATTAATGAACATGGTTTGAACAAAATCAACATTTACAATGATTCATGTGCATGTAAAATATATTCTCCAGACAAACTATTTCTGCCATGGGTTTTTATCACATATATCCAAACAAATTGATTCCAGAATAATAGTGTGAAAACCAAGTTCAATTAGGACAATAAATTGAATGTTTAACAGCGACAGGTTGGTGAAACCTGCTCACACTGTTACTGGATTGCTATAGGAGGGCTATTAGTTACGAATGGGGAGTGCAGTAGATACGTCGCTAAGGCGTCCGATATTTAATTAATATAAGCATTCAATTCCATTTTTACAAACAAAAAGATATTTAATTAATATGAGAATTTACTTCCAACTTAACAAAGAAACTATATTTAATAAATAAATAAAAAGTTCAAATATAAATGGATATACAGTGGTACCTCAGGATACAAACGCCCCAGCATGCGAAATTTTCAGGATATGACATGAAATTCCAACATATTTTTGCTCCACAATATGAACAAAAACTGACTATACGACGTTACATTAGTTCACAGCGCCCATTTTTTATTCACTTCTGTTCATCCGCGTGTTTGCATCATCGTGGAAGGATCTCGCTTGATGAAGAAAATCTTGAGGTATTATCAGAAAGTGATCGATTTTATTGAAAAGAAACATCCCAAAAAGGTTCACACTGGCCATATTGCTGCCCGGAGTAATGACATTTGCCTAAGTCATTTTGAAAAGTAGACAAAGCCAAACCTCTTTGGATAGATATTTTATGAAGCCACCTCTATCCAGTGAAAGTGCTGGTGGAAGTGAAGAAAAGAAAGCAAAAAGCAGTGAATAAAAATTAAAAAAATAATTAAAAAATAAAACAACACTAATTTTTTAATCTTTTCTAAGTTATTTTTAAGTTATTGTTACATTATGTTATGTAAGTTAAGTTTTAGTATCATTTCCCTTCTCCCTCTCCCCCGCCACCAGTTTACACCTCCACCGTCTATCCTCAAAGGTAAAGTGCAAATAAAACTACATTTTTTTTTTTTAAAATCAATTATTATTCTATTATGGTTATTTATACATTTACAACTACAAAACGCATTTTTCAGTGTTTTCCTTACTATAGTTATTTTTTTTTTTTTTAATGTACAACTTAGCTTTAATTTGAGTGTGTTTTTTGTGTTGGAATGAATTATTTGGTTTTACGTGTAATCATATGGGGAAAAATGATTCACCTTACAACATTTTCATGATACAATCTCAGTTTCGGAACGGATTAATTTCGTATCCCGAGGTACTACTGTATACAAAGTAACTTAAATTGACTCATTGACTTAGCTAATTAAAATGCTATTGCTATATATATGAGAGAGAGTTTACAATGAATATATTAGTATAATACCTCAGTTATACACATGTCCTTGAGAGGCGAAAGTTGGGAACCAGAGATCAGACACAAAATCAAGATATGGCAACTACTTATGTGTCTCAGTTTGGTGTGTAAATTGTTTTTATACTAATATTCTCTTCCAATGAGAATTAAATATTTTGACCATCTGACAGGATGTCAAGATGAGTCTTATTTAGTCAGATATTTAGTCACAGGAGAGGTAATGATCTCTCTCAGAAACTAACAGTCAAAAAGAAAACGTTTGTTCCTTGTTCTCCTTGACTTTTTTATAAAATAAAAGTTTCAAATTTAACATAGAAATATTATATTGTTCCGAATTCTTATAAAAATACCAATTCAATATTCAGATTCTCACATTAGCATGCTGGATTATTATTGAACAACTCTTGATTAATAGCTACTTTTAGAGGGTGCTGGGTTACCAGTGATTCTGGACAGAGTATTGGATTAATAAACTTCTAATGTATACAAACTATTAAATTTTTAGATTTGTACTAATTTAACAACTAGATAACAATTTTTGTAACAGAAAACATCACCATAACAATCAGTATAAGCTAAAATTACAACTTTATATATATACATGCAACATAGATTTAAAAAATTAATATTTGTGCTAACATGAAATCAGTATTGATATCACTTTTTTGTTTTGACTTGGAATTTTAAATTAAATACAACTGAAAAAAGCAAAAAACCATCACCATACAAATATCAGTTTTGTCTTAAATGAAGTTAATGTTCTTGGATTACGTAGTAAAAATATTAAGTGAAATAAAGTAAAATTTTAAATTTACATTATTATTTAAAATAAAATTTACCTTGATAGAAGGATGATTAAATATTGATAATTTATCAGGAATAATATCAGCATCATTCACAAGTTCTAAAATAACAGATTGTTGAATTGTAGAAATAACATTCCACTGTAAGAAAATTTTAAACAGCTCTATTAATTCATAATCCAAAATTTATCTACAGAACAAATTAACAAATTTTTTTATTACAGAATTTTATTAAATAACAGTCAAAATTATAACTAGATAACTAGTCTTAATTCAGAATAATTTAAATAATTTTTAAAATCAAAATAAGCTTAATAATAGTATATAAATTTATATACTATTTATAACTTATATATAATATATATAAAAATTTTATATTTATTAGTACTGTACATTGTTTGATACTAATAATAAATTTTATATGCAATAACAGAATAGTAGTGCTATCTGAGACAGGACTTTAGAAAAATAATTGCAATTCTAAATGATAATACTAATTTACTAGTAGTTGATCAGCTATTTAACTCAACTACATCATACTAAGAAAATTTTTGCAGAAATGGTACACATACACTACACATTAATACAGTGGTACCTCGGTGTACGTCTGCTTTAGAATACATCCAATTCGGAATACGTCCTGTTTGGACGAAACAAATTTTGCTCAGTATACGACTTAATTCAATTATATGCGCCATCTATGAACAAGTAGCACTTTCGGTGTACTAGACTAGACTAGACGTTCGTGATGCCACAGTTTTTAACTTTGTTAAATTTCTTCTGATTTTAATTTATAAGTAAAATTTTATTATTTTTATTAATCATGAATTGCAAAAAGGCAAGTGAAAAGCAACAGAAACTAAGACATTAGATCATGTTGAGAAATTGCTTTTGCTTTGGATAACTGTAAAACAGTGTGCTGGCGACAGCATATCTATCAGAAGCAATTATTTGCGAGAAAGCTAAAAAGATACATGCTGATCTCATGAAAAATCAAGCAGAACTAGCCAGGAAAGCGAGGTGTTTAAAGCCAGCCATTTTTTTTCACGAGAACAAATTAATCATTTTTACATTACTTCGTATGGGAAAGGTTGGTTTGGTATACATCCTATTCCGTATAAGTCCAAACATTAGGAATGGATTAAGGTCGTATACCGAGGTTCCACTGTACAAGTAATACAATACTTAATATATTTGTTACTATACTTATTTTTAACACAAGGTAAATAAAAATCATCACATAACATATTGCATCAGCCATTACTAAGTTAAAAGTCAAAAAACTATTAAAACATTTCTTTTAATTATAAAAAAAAATGTTTAAAATAAATAAATTTTATTTGAAAAATTAATTACAAATTCAATATATTAAAAACAGCAACAATTTAGAAATACCTGTACATTAATATTTTCTCTATACAGAATGTCATGCTTGTAACCAACAACCTCAACTTTTACAATCAACAAGCCTTCTTTTTCAAAGGGATGAAGTTTCTGAATACCTGTATTATAATAAAATTTCAAAAATTAGGGAAAGAAATATAGTTAAAAAGAAAATTTATTTAAATCAATACTTACTTCTAATGGCTTTTCTAAAACCACCAACACTTGTAACTTCTGTTATTACATTCATTTTATTTTCTAATTTACCTAAATTTTCATCTGATAACTCCCAATGAACATTTAATGATGATATGTTAGAGAATTTTCTTCCTAAACTGTCTTTTACCCACAACTCAATTTCTAAATCCTGATAACAATGTACAGGTAGCTATAAAATACACATGTATCATGTTAAATAAGTTTTCAGGGTCTCAGCACTATAATTGTTTTAATTAGAAAGCATAAGGAATGGAGTTTATATATATTACATACATAAATAGTCAATTCAAAAAAGTTACTCATTTTAATAGCTAATCTATTTGAAAGTCAAAATGTGAAGTACACAAAGATGAGCTCATTATATTATTAACTAACACTTGTAAACCAGAAAAATTGAGCACAAGCATTATATTAAATAAATTTTGCTTTATTAATACTGTGTATTTTCTTGCAAATAATAATTTAATTATATAGGGTAAGATGGGCAGCGTTTATGGTCGGTGCTTTTGGGTGTATTTTAAATAATTGTTTAATTTTTTGCAGGTAAGCTTACTGATTTGTTTCATCATGTCTAAAAGGAAGACTTATTCACCTGTAAGTCAGTCGGTTAGTAGATCTAAGATTTTTCATTCTGACCCATTGGAGTAGATGAGTATCTTGGAGTTACTTCAAGAACAATTTGATATTAAGGATGGGATATCGTTACTTATTCAGCTAAATTTAAAGCAGAATAAGAAATTGGAAGGAATGATTGCTAGGATTGATAGAATCTACTCCTGGGTAGAAAATTTGGACGAAGCTATTGTTAATATAGAAACTAGATTAGAAGATTTAGAGAAAAAATTTACATACGATACCGGTAAGATTCTATCGGACGATAGAATAGATTTGGAAAACAAAATGGCCGAGTTTACATTAAGTCAGGAGCGGTTTGAGTGTTTTTTAAGGCGTAATAATTTAATAATTTTTGGTTTGCCTGAGTCGGAAGATGATAACTTACAAGTTAAAGATGTAGTATTGGAATTTTTTCAAAATAAATTAAGTGTTGATAATGTTCGTTTAGAGCAGTGCTATAGATTGGGTCAACAACGGAAAGATAGTATTAGGTTGATTTACTGTAGTTTTTTTGACTATGGTGATAAATGTAAGATTAAAAGAGCGGCATTTAAATTAAAAGGAACGAGGATATTTATAATGGATGACCTTCCTCCTTTAACTAGAGACATAAGGAAAATAATGAATGATTTCGCAAGAGAAAAAAAGAGATTGGGTGCTTCAATTACTTATTTAAATAATAGAAATGCGGTTAAAGTTGATAATAAAATTTATAAATATAATATAGTTTCTAAGAAAATGGAAGAACAAATGTCAACTTGACTGGGAATAGGTACGTCGGTACTTTCATGGAATTGTGAAGGTATTGTAAATAAGCCTATCTCTTTTTGGAATTTTTTGTATACTTTTGATATAATTTTTTTAATGGAAACGTGGTGGGATGGCAGGTCTGCTATTCCCAATTTGCAAAATATGGATAAATTTTCTGTTTTTTCGGAGGCAGGTTATCGAGAGGCTGATAGAGGTCGCTGTATTGGTGGCTGGTTGTTGTTATTGTCTAACTCTTGGAAAGTAAATATCTTGGAAAAAGATAGGCATTGGATTGTTGTGGAATTGTCTATAGGGCCTATAGTAATTTCTTTCTGTTTTATGTATATAAGACCTGTATTATGGAATTCTATTTGGACAGAGGTAGCTAGGTTGGTTAATTGTTATAAGATAGACTTTTTAATTGGTGATTTTAATGCTCGCATTGGAGTAGAACTGCAGGAATGGATTTATGAAAGTAATGAGAATATTGATCAGGATTGGATGTTGAGGTCATCAAAAGATACAGTATTAAATAATCGTGGAAAATTGGTGTTAGATTTTTGTGAAGAGGCGGGATATATTGTTTTAAATGGTAGAGGCTCATCTATATCTAAAGGTTATTATACATATGTGAGTGATATAGGCTCCTCTGTAATTGATTTGGCTTTGGTTAAGTTAAATAGATTATCTATTGTAACAAGTTTTTCTGTATTAGATAAAGTGTATAGTAATCATTTTCCGATAAGTGTAGTCTTAGATTGTAAATCTAAGAAGGAAATTCGAAAATCATTTAAGAAGTATAAGAGTAAGAGTGAGAGAATTTTTTGGAGGGAAGAAGGTAGTGAGAAGATAAATTATAAGTATAGGAAACTATTAGGTGCGATTCAGAGTCAGTCAGTATTAACGTTGGAAGGTTTAACTCATTTAATTAAATCTTCGTTTTCAGATTGGTGTCAAAGGCCAATTGGATTTTCCAATTTTGTGTGGTTTGATATGGATTGTAAGTTGAGTATTGCAAGAAGAAATCAGGCGTTGAATAGGATGAGATGATCAAAGCGTGGAAATAGTGTTGCAGTTAAGAATTTTGTTAAAGAACGTAATGTGACTCGCAATTTATGTAGAGCAAAGAAAAAGCTTTTTTTGCAGAAGATCAATAAGAATTTGGCGTCTGGTGATAGTAAGCAGTTCTGGCGATTTATTAATTTCTTTGTTAAGAGTAAATACAGGGAGCTTCCAGATCTTGATTGGGTAGCTTTTTTTTTCAAAGAAATTTCATTCTAGTAAATATTTACCTAATATGTCTATATATAATTAGTGTATGAATTGGCAGGACGAGCTGTTGGATACGGAGATAACAGAACAGGAAGTCAAAAAGATTCTAGCTTCTATGAAAAATGGTACTGCTCCAGGTATTGATGGGATACCGGTGGAACTATATAAGAATTTCCCAGATCTGATTGGATATATGGTAGGTCTGTTTAACAATGTTTATCAATCAGGGATGATTCCTTTAGACTGGCGCATATGTAAGATTATTCCTATATTTAAAAAGAGTCTTAGAGATTTACCTGATAATTATAGAGCAATTTCGTTACTACCGACAATATCTAAAGTTTTCTGTAAAATTTTATGTATGCGTTTGATATCTTGGCTGAATAACTTTGAGATATTTTCTGATTTCCAGGCTGGTTTTTCGACATTGGATAATATTTTTGTTTTACATGCTTTAATACAGAAGTCTTTAAGGAAGAAACGAGGTAAATTTTACGCTTTCTTCGTTGATTTGACGGCAGCATTTGATTCGTTGGATAGAGATCTTTTATGGAGTCAACTTCTGAAGATTGGATTGAGCTATAAATTTGTAAACTTTTTGATTCAGTTGTATACTAATACAGAGGCGTGCGTGTCTACTAAGGAAGGTACGACTGATCTTTTTTTCACGTTAAAAGGTTGAAACAGGGTTGTGTATTGAGCCCAATATTGTTCAATTTATATTTGTATCCACTTGTAAGTAAATTGAATGATTCTAATTTGGTGGGCATTGATCTCTTGGGAACGGAAGTGAAAATCTTGACATATGCAGATGATTTGGTTGTTATGGCAGATTCGCCTATAGGTCTTCCGAGAATGATTGACTTTTTAGGACACACACTACAGGAGTTAAAATTGTCTGTTAATATTGATAAATCTAAAATAATGGTATTTTGGAATGGTGGAAAACATTCTAATAATGAGAATTGGTTTTTACAAAATCATAAAATAGACGTTGTTGATGAGTACAAGTATCTGGGTGTAGTTTTCCAGTCTAATGGACGTTTTTTAAAACATTTAAAGTATATTCACAGTAAAGTGACTTTTGGAAATGATAAGATTATTAAAACTTGTGTATCTGGTAGATTGGTACGTTGGAAAGATAAATTAAAATTATTTGAGTCATTCATTCAATCAGTAGTGTTATATGGATCTGAAATTTGGGGTTTTGATTGGAGAGACAGAGATGATAATATACAAATTAATTTTATTAAGTGTTTATATTCTCTAAAGAGATGGATTCCATCGTATATTATATATTTGGAGTTTCAAAGAGTTCCCCTTTATTTTAATACAATAAAAAATAATTTAAAATGGTTATGTAAACAGTCTTCCAGTAAACTTACAGAGTCTGCTAAAATATTTTTGGTCTCTCAAAGAGTATCGTGGGGAGATCGAATTGTGTCTCTGTTGCAGAAATTTGGTTATCGAAATGATCCGACAATGATAAAAGAAAGTGAGACTTCTGATATTTTAATGAGTTTGGCGAATAATTATATAATTGAGTTTAAATACAAGGCGGTTAATTACAAATATAATAAATGGTATTTGGATGTTTTTAATGAATGGGGGTCGATAACCTATCTGAATATAGAAAGACCTTTTTGTATTACACAAGCAGTGTTATATGTGAGATGTAATATGCTTAGAAGAATGTTAAGTCCATGTATGGATTACTGTGAATTTTGTAACACTACTGTTAATTTTGATGCTTTTCATGTAATAACGGAATGTAAGGCACTGACTGCACTCAGACAAAAGTGTTTTGGTGAAGATTGTTTTTTGGTTCAAGCATATAAACGGTTGTTGCAGGACTGGGATAAATATCATTGTATTTATAGTTTTGTAACTAAGTTAAATGATTGATTATTTATTTGTTAAGATTAAGAAATTTTTTTTTCAGATGTTTACCACCAGGAGGTGTAAATTGATTATTTAAGTGAACGATTCAGTGTTTGAGAGTTGGCAGCATTTATGGTCGGTGCTTTTGGGCATATTTTAAATAATTGTTTAATTTTTTGCAGGTAATGGCTTACTTTTTTCTTTTCTTTTATTTATTATATTTTGTTTATGCTGACCATTTGCTGCCATTTTTTCAAATTTGTCTTATTTATGTATTTTATTTATAAGAATATAAATGCTATTATTGTTTCGGATGATATTAACCTGGTGTTGTCTTGTAGTTTTTCTTTTCAGTCTAATTGTCACGCGTTATATTATATTAATTTGTCTTTTGTATTGTTATTTATTACAGTTTGTGATTTCAGTTATAAGAGCCCATACATACAGGGCTTTCCCTTGTACTAAATAAATAAATAAATATAGGGTAAGATTTTAATTTCTTCATTATGCTTTTTAAATCTTGATGCTCCAGTATACCTCAGATATCCCAAAGCTCACTGCTATTGCTGACTTCAAGTAATTTGGATATGATTGAAATTTGAAAATTTTTTCATAATTACAATAGATATTTTCAAAAATAATTTTTTGTAAATATCTTAACAATTGAATGAATTACAAAGAAAATTCATAGTTGTATTATAAACAACATTACTTACTTTTTCATCTGTTTCTAATAATTGACAAGGGTATTTTTTCCCTTTTGGTTCTTTTCTTTTTGGAATCAGTTGAATGCTTTTTGGAACAGCACATATTATTCTGCAATTAATTTATAAAAAATGTAAATTTGGAAAATAATTTAAAGATCATATATTAAATTTCAGTACGAAACATTTTATTCAATGTATATGATTAGAAAAATGTACTTTTGCATATTCCTATATTCAGGGTTTCTACTCAAATGTTTGTTTTGAATTCCCTGACTTCCCCTGATCAACTTGTACAGATTCCATCTTCATGTTCTTTACCGTACAGCATGTTGACAAAATAAAACAGCATTTGACTTACAAAGTACATATGTTACTGCTTCTTCAACTTTTTAATTAGTTATTTTTTCTAATTNCAGAAATTGTTTTGTTATACAATTAAAATTATTAAAATGAAAAATGATAATTTTAATTTGGATGGTATTATTTATTTATTAATTTTTGTACTTTGTAAATTTTCGAGGAAATTTTGTGCATGCTTAGGAGAAATTTTGGGTCTTGAAAATATTCTGCACCCCTTTTCATAAGTTGTATTGCACCACAATACTTCTTGCTGTCTGAAGAAGGTTACACTTAGTCAAGCACATTGTCAGCGAAAAAAAAAAAAATTGTTTTATTTATCATTTTTTGTACTTTATAAATTTTTGGGGAAGTTTTGGCTCTTGAAAATATTCTGCACCCATTTTCGTAAGTTGTATTGCACCATATTACTTCTTGCTGTCTGCAGATGGCTACACTTAGTCAAGCACATTATCAGCAAAAAAATCAACAAGAAAGCTAAGGAGGCAAATTACCTGACTTTCCAAGAATTTTTCTGAACATTAATGAAAATCTCTGACTTTCCTTCATTTTATAAACATTTTCTTCTTCTATTTTTCATATATTTTCATAGATTTATTACAAAATAAAAATATTAATGTCTAAATATATTTCTTCTACTGGTGTTATACCATACACTACACAAAAGTCTAGAAACATTAAACTTTAATAAAATATACATGGCACTACAGAAAGCTACAATATTGAACACATTCACATTGTTAGGAAGTTTCTAGATTGACACATACCAATAACACAGCTCAAATTACACTTTGACTTTAGTCCTGCATAGCTAAATAAATATCAAACTCAACTTCTTTTAAAAAACACTTAATAAAACATTTAACACCTTCCGTTGCTGAGAATACTTTATTTAAACACAAACGTTTTCAGCCTAATGGAATAAATCATCTTCAAGTGAACTGGCATTTGAACGTATTTCAAAATTGTAATAAATGGAATGTTTGATCATTATAAATTCAAATTTGAAACAAAAAATAGATAAATTAACCAATAAATAACAAAATAATCTATTTTTTGATTTAAATTTGAATTTATAACGATCAAACATTCCATTTATTACAATTTTGAAATACGTTCAAATGCCAGTTCACTTGAAGATGACCTATTTCATTAGGCTGAAAACGTTTGTGTTGAAATAAAGTATTCTCAGAGATAGAAGGTGTTAAATGTTTTATTAAGTGTCCTACATAGCACTCACCAGTATCAGCTTAGCATGATATTCACAATATAATAATGAAAAAGTTAGCCAAAAACTAAAAAATTTACCTTTGCAAAAAATTGGCACATTTCTTTAATATTTCAGAAAAAATTGTACATCATCTTAAATAAATTATGTTTTTGGTTGTCAAAATGTCTGTCAATTAAGTGCTCCATGTTAAAGATAGGTCATTTGTAACATTAATTTCAATTTTATTTCTATTAATCAACTTATTATGTCAAATTTACAATTGTATATCCCATTTTATAGTAACAACATACTTAAAGCATTTAATTCAAAAAATTTTATGATAATTTATCAGTTTATTGCTGCATGACAAATTATATAATAGGTCTAGTCAATTATTTATATGATTTAATTTTCCAAACTATGTAGTAATAATTATTAATTGCTTTGTAAATTATTGTTTAATTTTGTGTGCAATAATTTTTGGAAAAATTTTGGAACCTGAAAATATTCAGCATCTCTGTATACATTTTTAGAGAAAAAGTGTTATTTCAAAATTTTTGTATTTTTGAAATACTTTAGATAGATAAATTTCTTCAGACATCATATCCAAAGAAAATGTAGACATATCAAGTTTACTAAAAGAAATAATTCAACAGTTGATTGTATTTACAACAGAATAAAAATTTTATTCATATTATGCAATAAAATCATCTCTCAGTTATTAAACTGTCCTTGTTTAATGCTGTTTCATTTAGTGCTTTGTTGTCTAGGAATGTATTCTCACATTAAGCAGGGTCTTACTGTATTATAAAAATTATAAATACAGTCGACCCCCTATAACACGGTAGATACGTTCCGTTCTTTATGAAATTGATGTTTTACGAGTCCTTGAATACATGAGCCAATCACAGTCCGGCACGTATGCAGTTTACAGACTACGGCTGTTTGAAAGGTTTTCTTCCATAAAATTAATCAATTCTAGACTAATTCGACTCAACATTTCCAAAATACGTATAATTTTTTGGGAATAATCCATATAAATTATGCTATGAACAAAAAATTGTAGGATTACTTACCGAGTGTGAACTGTTCGACGACGCCATTGCTTAAGCTTGTTTTCGTCATGGAGTTTGTCATCGAATGGCGCTTGCATGCTTCCCGATAAATTATTTTTTTGCGAAAAATTTGCTGAACTTTGGAGACATCATTAATATAAATATAATTTTTATGGACGTTAAATAATAAATGATTTTTAGTAGGTCTGCTGCTCGTTTGAACTCAACGGTTTGTACAATATCTGCTATTGATCTAGATTCGACCAACCCTGTTGTGACACGAGTCGGCGATGACATTTAATCGAATTATACGAGTTTTTTTTAGCGTGTTTGTACGAATACTGTCGCAATTTTTTCACTGTGATATAGGAATCTGAACTATATGAACCCGTGTTATAGAGGGGTCTACTGTAGTCATCAAAATTTTGGATTACTTAAAGAGATGCTAAACAAATTTCATTATATTTGTTATATTACTTTTAATGATGAATTCTGGTTATTTAAAAAAATAAAGTACAGTAGAGCATTGATTATCCGACTCAATTGGGAACTCGGATTGGTCAGATAACTGAAAAAAAATCAGATAACTGAAAAGAATGAAAAAAATACATTATTAGTATAGTATATTAGTATATCCCATGTAATTAGTATATTAGTATATCGCTATTAACCTACTTTGCGTTGAATTTTCATCGATGTTAAGCCTAACAAAAATTTTTTAAAATAATAATCGTCGCTATTGTATCGTTAAAAATTATTTTTAAATTATTTTATTGCTCACAAAACAAACAACCACTCATAATTAGAAAATTAAGCCTTGTTTAAATACTGGTTTCACTTTCATGATCAAGCCAGTGTTGCCAGCTAAAACATGCAAAAATTTAACAAAAATAATATTAAAGTAGCCAAGACATAGCCAAATATTGTAGTGCCACATCACTAGCGGACATTTGAAATTTGCCTACTAGAATGGTTGGTTAACCGATGTGACGGTTAATCGGGGGTCGGATAATTGATGCTCTACTGTAGTTTTAAAGTAATTTGAAATTAGGCTGTATTTATATTAGAATAAAGTTTTATGTTATATAAAACTAAATATATTATTGTTATACACAAATATAAGTTATAACATTATATTTATTTATAATTACCTAACAGAAGCTTTATTTTCCACAGGAAGTGGATTTTTTAAAGAAAGGTGATTGCCGACTGTTACATCCAACATCTGGAAAAAACAATCATGTAATTTAGGATATTTTAAATTTATTTAATCACAAGAAATGAATACTCACAGATTCACCAATACTCTTACAAGTTACTCTTGCAACATGAACATCTTCTAAAATGAAAATATTTACAAAATTTTACACTTCAGATTAAAAGGTTAACTAACTCTAATATAAATATATAATTTTTAATTTATTAAATAAGCTTATTTTTTTGTTCTTGATAATATAAATGCAAATGCTCTTATGCTAACCAAAATTTTTTACAAACATAGCATATTATAATAATATATTAATAAGTTTGCAATTATTTTATATAGCTTATGCTAGATGATAATTTGAATTATTTAATAGTAATCTTATAACAAAGTATTTTTTAAACATGAAATTTTAATGCAAGATAAACTCTGATTTAACAATAAACAAACATTTTTTTCTATAGTTCAAAATTATAAATTAAATAGAAATCTATATTTTAGGAATTTGTTAATTTTTGTAACTTTAAATAATTAAAATGTAAAATCACTCCCCACAATATAAATGATTTTCTTATTAAAAAATCAAAACAAATATATAATACTGATATTATGCTACTCAACTAAACTTATATTAACAATATCTATTATCATTATTAATAAATTTGTTATATATTATACCTTAAAGATTTATTACTTAAAATTTTTTAATTATCTAAAAATCTTACTATGATAATGTTGAGAATCAAACAAAGTAATTTCTGTTATTTTTGAAGAACTTGTTCTCACTGAAAATATGAATTTATTATAAAAATTAAGATATTTATTCCAAAAGTAGGAATGGTGTAAAATATCAATAATAAAATATAAACAATTTAAACATTCAAAAAAATCTTAATAGAGTGAGTCTAAACAACTGTAAACTATCAGATTTATTTCTTACAGCCAATTCAATGTAAAGCAGAACTGAAACACTATTAGTAAATTAGATTTATTGTGCTGGTTTTATTTTAAGTTCATAAACAGAAGAAATACAAATTCTCAATCTCTTCATACTTCATGCTTTTTCATATTAGTGTATGTATCATTCTGGATTTATTTATTAATTGCCAGAGATGTCTTTAAACACTTTACATATCATGGTAGCAAAGTACTTCAAGATTGACTCTGCCGTGATATTTTTTTCCTACAATATGTGAAAATGCACTATGAATTTTTTTAGCGTTTCTTCTATTTATGAATTTTAGATAAATATTCATAACTTTTTCAATTTCCATATGGTAGAGTAATAAAACTAAAGAACAAATCAAAATTTAGTTTCAAATTATAAAAAATCAATTCAAGTATCAAGGCCACTTTTAACCTATTCCCTGGTATTCGCGACATATCTCAGGTCACAACACGATGACGTTCACCGATGGACCCGAGATATCTTGTTTCAGCATCGGAACATTTTTCAAACTAGATGTCGCTAGTCATTATAATTTTTATATTAAAACTAACTTCTGAAATAATTTTCTTTTGTTTTCACATTTATTAATATATCTATTTNTGATTTAACAATAAACAAACATTTTTTTCTATAGTTCAAAATTATAAATTAAATAGAAATCTATATTTTAGGAATTTGTTAATTTTTGTAACTTTAAATAATTAAAATGTAAAATCACTCCCCACAATATAAATGATTTTCTTATTAAAAAATCAAAACAAATATATAATACTGATATTATGCTACTCAACTAAACTTATATTAACAATATCTATTATCATTATTAATAAATTTGTTATATATTATACCTTAAAGATTTATTACTTAAAATTTTTTAATTATCTAAAAATCTTACTATGATAATGTTGAGAATCAAACAAAGTAATTTCTGTTATTTTTGAAGAACTTGTTCTCACTGAAAATATGAATTTATTATAAAAATTAAGATATTTATTCCAAAAGTAGGAATGGTGTAAAATATCAATAATAAAATATAAACAATTTAAACATTCAAAAAAATCTTAATAGAGTGAGTCTAAACAACTGTAAACTATCAGATTTATTTCTTACAGCCAATTCAATGTAAAGCAGAACTGAAACACTATTAGTAAATTAGATTTATTGTGCTGGTTTTATTTTAAGTTCATAAACAGAAGAAATACAAATTCTCAATCTCTTCATACTTCATGCTTTTTCATATTAGTGTATGTATCATTCTGGATTTATTTATTAATTGCCAGAGATGTCTTTAAACACTTTACATATCATGGTAGCAAAGTACTTCAAGATTGACTCTGCCGTGATATTTTTTTCCTACAATATGTGAAAATGCACTATGAATTTTTTTAGCGTTTCTTCTATTTATGAATTTTAGATAAATATTCATAACTTTTTCAATTTCCATATGGTAGAGTAATAAAACTAAAGAACAAATCAAAATTTAGTTTCAAATTATAAAAAATCAATTCAAATATCAAGGCCACTTTTAACCTATTCCCTGGTATTCGCGACATATCTCAGGTCACAACACGATGACGTTCACCGATGGACCCGAGATATCTTGTTTCAGCATCGGAACATTTTTCAAACTAGATGTCGCTAGTCATTATAATTTTTATATTAAAACTAACTTCTGAAATAATTTTCTTTTGTTTTCACATTTATTAATATATCTATTTTGTTTGTGTTAAATAAAAAAAATAATTTCAGACAATACAATAGTCAGGATAATTTTTTTCAAAAACGTGTAATTTTTGTCAGGCTTAACATCGACAAAAATTCAACATGGGATAAGTTAAAAAAATATTGTAAATAATCACTATTAAAAGAAATTGATTTCTAAAAGCATTTTACAAAAATTATATAAATTTTGGTAATTGTCATAGTTGGAATCTCTAAATTTTAAAATTCTACTAACACATTAAATTGTTAAAGAATCATGCACATGTCCAAAACTTAAAAATGGATGATACATGAGTAGAGAAAACTGTAGATGAATGCAAACATACAAATATGGCAATAACTGTATTATTTGGTATCTATCATAGGATAATATACAATAACTTGTAGGAGTTAACAAATCAAAGCAATTAAGTAAGTCTTTTGTGAAAAAAAAAAAAAAAATAGGTAGAGAAAGGATGAAAAGTGTTTACCAATACTCAGAGATACATGTCAGTATGAAATATATTCACCTCAAACTATGATGCAGCACTCACAAATGTCAAGGCTTGTCACTGACTGGCTTGGTGACTTTTTAGCTATCATCACTAGTAATTGTGTCCATCATTAAGTTTTGGACACATGTATATTTAAAAAATATTTATGCAACTTTTACAGACTATATTCTAATAAATTAATTCATAATACTAAAATAAACTTTATATCTTCTCAAATATTGTTTCTTAAAGTTTTTAGATAAATGAATAGCTATTTAAAATGATTAAGTTATATTTAACAAATTAACTATTATAGTTATGCAAATATTTATTTTAGAACATTTATAACATGTCAATTACATATCCTAAATCACAGTTAAATATATTATTAGTATTCTTTCAGCTGTAAATCTTTTAGTTCTTTTAATGTATCAATAGGATAATAAGTTCATACATCACAAATATAAGTTATAACATTATATTTATTTATAATTACCTAACAGAAGCTTTATTTTCCACAGGAAGTGGATTTTTTAAAGAAAGGTGATTGCCGACTGTTACATCCAACATCTGGAAAAAACAATCATGTAATTTAGGATATTTTAAATTTATTTAATCACAAGAAATGAATACTCACAGATTCACCAATACTCTTACAAGTTACTCTTGCAACATGAACATCTTCTAAAATGAAAATATTTACAAAATTTTACACTTCAGATTAAAAGGTTAACTAACTCTAATATAAATATATAATTTTTNAAATTAACTATTATAGTTATGCAAATATTTATTTTAGAACATTTATAACATGTCAATTACATATCCTAAATCACAGTTAAATATATTATTAGTATTCTTTCAGCTGTAAATCTTTTAGTTCTTTTAATGTATCAATAGGATAATAAGTTCATACATGTACAATATGGATCTAGCCATTATTAAATTAATTCTTAAAAATAACTTTATAACGATTAATTATATTTTTAAGAAAGTATTTGTATCATTAAAGATTAGTTCTATTCTAAATGTAGAATGAACTATAACATTAAATCAAATACAAGGTGTATTTACTAAGGTCAGGGAGTGCATTTATATAAAAATTTTCTTTCAATAAATTCAGTCCCTGAAGTTAGTAAATATGCCTTGTATATAGAAGAAAAAATAATTCCATCTTTATTATGAAAATGTCACACACGTCTAACCTATGAATTTCCTTTGTTCCAATTTTCAAATTGTTTGTGGTGACGCTTGCTCCATTATTCAAAGAAATTTTAAGAATGAACTGCAGCTGACTCAATAATGTCGGGCAGTATAAGCAGCATATTTTTTCTATTCTCAAAATTATTGCAAGAATTGTTGAAATTTTATTTATTAAATAAATTAACAAATGCATTTAAACTGTTATATCATAATTTTCATGTATATAATTTTCCACTTGTAATAAAAATAGTTCTATTTTTCTTTGGTGTGTATGCACTGCAAATATGTCAGTTTTATTCTAAGTGTGGAATAGACATATATATAAATACTGCCTTACTGTGAATATAATGACCCTGCAAATCCAAAGGCCAAGGTCTTGGTCCACCTTCAAATGCAACTTCCATTGAAGAACCAAGAGCCAACACTGCAAACTGCTTAGGATATATTGGCTATAATAATAATTATAATATTTTACTATAAGTTATAACGTTTAGTAATATTTTCAAAGTAAAAATTATAATAATACCTGTAACAATTTATGACAAGCAATAGTAGATGTTGCATTTATAATTCCTTCACCTGTATCATAATGGACAACAACATCAGAATATCCAATTGCTTTACACGTAAACTGAAGAGCACGACAGCCTGTGCTAACTATATCTGTTCCTAAGATATTTGTAATAATTAAACTTTTTATAATAAAAAATTAATAAAACTAAAACCAAACAAACAGCAATCAAAATGGATATTTTTATTATGTTAAAAAGTTATTCAAAATGTCACAAATTTTAAAATGTAAAATGAAATGTACACAATTACAAAATGATATTAAAATAGATAATTTATTTTACATGATGGATGAGAAAAATGAGATTTTGAAGTACTACACTTCAAGTAAGTGTAAGTGTACTACATTAAAAAAAAACAATAATTCAACAAATGCATTAAGTCTATAATATTACTTTCTAGTAAATGAAAGTAATGTATTTCTTAATTAAACTGAAATTACTATAATTAATAAGAGAAAGCTATATAATTTATTAAATACTGATTACAGATTTCTCATGAAGATATATTAATATATACATGAACACAATAAAAATTTCTGAAGAAAACACTATATTAATCATTTCCACAGGGAATTAATAGTAATAGCAAAACCTATATTTTATGCTATCTGTAATATTTCAATAGAACTAAGCATTATTATATTAAAACAACATTTGTTAATTTTTAATAAACAGTTCTAAATATAAATTTTATAACTCCCCATGAGACATGTCATAGAACATCTGGAATGAATTGCAAAATAATCTATGAAATACTCAATGAAAAATGTTGATGCAAATATAATGTCAGTGCATTAAATTAAATTATAAAAACATTTTCTTATACAACTAAAAACTACTAGTTATTACTATTATCTTGAAATTAAAATTTTATTTAACAAATTTATTACTAAAACAAAAAGAAACATTAGTATTTAGGGCTAATTTTTATGAAAAAATATCTTAAACTCAAATAAATGTGTAAGTTGTATAAGTCCATTAATAAAGTGTCAGAATGAATACACCAGAAACTTCAAAATTATATCTTTAAATAAATGTGATAAAAATAAAATAAAAATTAAAAAAAATTTTTAAACTTACCTTCACTATAACTGAATTTTTCTAAATTAACATCTACTTCAATTGGTATTTCAGAACAATTATTAAACATTTTTATTCTACCTAGAAAATATAAAAGGTATTATATAAAATGATTATCAAGCTTTTATTAATTTATTTTTCAATCTTTAAAACTTTTCATACCTTCAGATTCATACCCATAGATTGCTAATGGTAAAATAACAGATTGTCCAATTTCAGTTTCAACAGTTGCATTCAAAAACTTGATACTAGCAACAATCTGTATAGAGATCTGAAAAAAATTTCAAATTTAATTTAAACAATAATAAAAAAAAAAAAAAGAAAAGAAAAAAAATACAATCACACCTTTGCAGAATCTATAAAAAGTGAATTCTGAAGATCTACAGCAGTTATACTGGCATTTCCAATAGTATGAGTAACTATCTGAATTCTGTCTAAATGTTCTTCATGAGTTATTTTTGCAATACTATTATTAGAAGATAGCCACTTATATGAACCTGTTCCTCCAGTAGCCTTAAGAAATAATAAAATTAGCAATGATAAAAAAAAATATAGATTATATAAAAATAATTTTCAAAAATTCTGATTTATTTATTCACATATTTGGCTACATAATCCAAAATAATTTTTATGAAGTCTCAATATATAAAAGAAAATTTTATAACTAACAATTTAAAGAAATAATAATAATAATAATAATGTTATGGAAAGGCATTAATATGTTATTGTATATTAAAAGACAATGTTTTCATTCAAACTACGTAAGTGTTTTTATAATACATAGAAGCAATGTTTTTTAATATCAGAAGAAAGAAGAATAGCAATTTCTCACCACCACACCTGACATCCAGAGATTCCATTCCCAAATATTAATATCAGATTATTAAATGCAACAAAATTGACTTAATAACATTATCAATAAAAAAAAAATCATATCTTAAATTTTTTGACAATATTTTTACTTATTAAAAATCACTATTTTTCAATTTTTATGGAAGAAGACTTTCTCCACACATTATTTCAAATAACTAATTAGAAAATTGTGATCAATATTAATTTAAGTTGTTGTTAACTTCTGTATCAGTATTTGAAAACTATGTAATGAATTTCAATAATTTACTCCTTACTGAAATAAAAGATAATCTTACTTTTAAAACAACAAAATATTTTGGCTGTATATGATCATTCCATGGCAACAGAACAACTGATGGAGAGACACGAACAGCTTGATATATTGTTACTTCCTGATAACCACTGACAGGTGATAAAATCCTAAGTAGTTTGCCATTCTGTAAAAAATATTTAAAAGTGAAAATATTTTTCTATAAAGTAATTTATTCATTTAAATAGTCTTCAAATTTCAAAAAATTTTTGTTTTAAAATCTTAATACATTACTAAATATTAGCAATATATTCAGGATTCCTACTCAAATTTTTATTTTCAATTCCATGACTTTCCCTGATCAACTTTTGTCCAAATTCCCTGACCCTCACATTTCTTACAGTATGGAATATTGACATAATAAAACAGAAATTTACTTACTGTAAACATTGAGTACATCTATCCCTCTTTTTGCACAGTTGATACATTCCAAAGACTGTGCCAAAAAGTACAGTACAAATATCCTGTATAAAAATGTTTGATAGGATCCACAACTTCAATGTAATAAAAAAATTAGCAATTTATAAATGAAACATGAGCTTTTTCTTTTATCATCATTTATCATTATTATTTGTATGTAAATCTAGTAAATACAAGGTAGCATAAAATCAACAAAGAATATTGTCTGATATACAAATATTACTGTACCCTGCTTAAAAAAGAAGAACTCTTGACTTAGAAATATGAATTTTAAAAACAATCTTTCAACAAAAAGAGCAACTATTTTTAAACAGCAACATAATTTTAACAAAAAATTAAATGTAAAAATTTTCAAATAAAAAGTGTTTTTTTCCCATGTAAAAAAAATCGATCAGGCTACCTAGTTAATATTCAAAATTATAACATACTACAGTATTACTACAGGTATGATCAATGTTGCCAGTTTTTAAGCCATAAAATTACCAAAATCAATGATATTTGTTTTCCAACTTTATTTCTATTAAACTAATTATTAAACTATGTATCAAAGTGCAGAAAATTAACAGGAGAGAGAGAAAAACACACTTGCAGTATAGTACTTTCAAGGAAAATCATAACAACAGATGCAAAATGTTGTGCCGACCACAAGTGATGTAAGCATTTTATATCTTTTACTGTAAATACCGGGTAACTGTTTAAAAAACATTACTACACAACATAAAAAACTATATATAAGAAAAACAATTAAATTATATATTTTTACTGATTGATTTAGCTATTTCGAAGTGAACATTCTAATAAATTACCATTTCAACTTTTAAAAGTTTGCAAACAAATTTTTAATTAGTTGTTTTTTTTATTCTAATTAACAATTTCATCTTTTTATAATTGCTAAATTATTAAAAATAAAAGCTATAATATTAAACACTTTTACATAAAAAGTAGTTTATTCTGTTATTAATCCACAACCATAAAATTATATGGCTTCAAAATGGTGAAAAAAGCCATTATTTATTTATTTTTTGATTGTTAATAAATTCTGTAGTCCATTACAGAAGTATAAATTTATACCTTAATAAATTTATAAAATTTTAATATACTGGAAATAAATAGGAAATTATGTTTTGTTATGCAATAAAAATTAATAATAATAATAATAATAAAATAAATATTTGTAATTTATTAGTATTATTTATCAATTTTTGCACTTCGTTCTGATTTTTTGAAAATCAATTCATTAACACCTTNAAACAATAATAAAAAAAAAAGAAAAGAAAAAAAATACAATCACACCTTTGCAGAATCTATAAAAAGTGAATTCTGAAGATCTACAGCAGTTATACTGGCATTTCCAATAGTATGAGTAACTATCTGAATTCTGTCTAAATGTTCTTCATGAGTTATTTTTGCAATACTATTATTAGAAGATAGCCACTTATATGAACCTGTTCCTCCAGTAGCCTTAAGAAATAATAAAATTAGCAATGATAAAAAAAAATATAGATTATATAAAAATAATTTTCAAAAATTCTGATTTATTTATTCACATATTTGGCTACATAATCCAAAATAATTTTTATGAAGTCTCAATATATAAAAGAAAATTTTATAACTAACAATTTAAAGAAATAATAATAATAATAATAATGTTATGGAAAGGCATTAATATGTTATTGTATATTAAAAGACAATGTTTTCATTCAAACTACGTAAGTGTTTTTATAATACATAGAAGCAATGTTTTTTAATATCAGAAGAAAGAAGAATAGCAATTTCTCACCACCACACCTGACATCCAGAGATTCCATTCCCAAATATTAATATCAGATTATTAAATGCAACAAAATTGACTTAATAACATTATCAATAAAAAAAAAATCATATCTTAAATTTTTTGACAATATTTTTACTTATTAAAAATCACTATTTTTCAATTTTTATGGAAGAAGACTTTCTCCACACATTATTTCAAATAACTAATTAGAAAATTGTGATCAATATTAATTTAAGTTGTTGTTAACTTCTGTATCAGTATTTGAAAACTATGTAATGAATTTCAATAATTTACTCCTTACTGAAATAAAAGATAATCTTACTTTTAAAACAACAAAATATTTTGGCTGTATATGATCATTCCATGGCAACAGAACAACTGATGGAGAGACACGAACAGCTTGATATATTGTTACTTCCTGATAACCACTGACAGGTGATAAAATCCTAAGTAGTTTGCCATTCTGTAAAAAATATTTAAAAGTGAAAATATTTTTCTATAAAGTAATTTATTCATTTAAATAGTCTTCAAATTTCAAAAAATTTTTGTTTTAAAATCTTAATACATTACTAAATATTAGCAATATATTCAGGATTCCTACTCAAATTTTTATTTTCAATTCCATGACTTTCCCTGATCAACTTTTGTCCAAATTCCCTGACCCTCACATTTCTTACAGTATGGAATATTGACATAATAAAACAGAAATTTACTTACTGTAAACATTGAGTACATCTATCCCTCTTTTTGCACAGTTGATACATTCCAAAGACTGTGCCAAAAAGTACAGTACAAATATCCTGTATAAAAATGTTTGATAGGATCCACAACTTCAATGTAATAAAAAAATTAGCAATTTATAAATTAAACATGAGCTTTTTCTTTTATCATCATTTATCATTATTATTTGTATGTAAATCTAGTAAATACAAGGTAGCATAAAATCAACAAAGAATATTGTCTGATATACAAATATTACTGTACCCTGCTTAAAAAAGAAGAACTCTTGACTTAGAAATATGAATTTTAAAAACAATCTTTCAACAAAAAGAGCAACTATTTTTAAACAGCAACATAATTTTAACAAAAAATTAAATGTAAAAATTTTCAAATAAAAAGTGTTTTTTTCCCATGTAAAAAAAATCGATCAGGCTACCTAGTTAATATTCAAAATTATAACATACTACAGTATTACTACAGGTATGATCAATGTTGCCAGTTTTTAAGCCATAAAATTACCAAAATCAATGATATTTGTTTTCCAACTTTATTTCTATTAAACTAATTATTAAACTATGTATCAAAGTGCAGAAAATTAACAGGAGAGAGAGAAAAACACACTTGCAGTATAGTACTTTCAAGGAAAATCATAACAACAGATGCAAAATGTTGTGCCGACCACAAGTGATGTAAGCATTTTATATCTTTTACTGTAAATACCGGGTAACTGTTTAAAAAACATTACTACACAACATAAAAAACTATATATAAGAAAAACAATTAAATTATATATTTTTACTGATTGATTTAGCTATTTCGAAGTGAACATTCTAATAAATTACCATTTCAACTTTTAAAAGTTTGCAAACAAATTTTTAATTAGTTGTTTTTTTTATTCTAATTAACAATTTCATCTTTTTATAATTGCTAAATTATTAAAAATAAAAGCTATAATATTAAACACTTTTACATAAAAAGTAGTTTATTCTGTTATTAATCCACAACCATAAAATTATATGGCTTCAAAATGGTGAAAAAAGCCATTATTTATTTATTTTTTGATTGTTAATAAATTCTGTAGTCCATTACAGAAGTATAAATTTATACCTTAATAAATTTATAAAATTTTAATATACTGGAAATAAATAGGAAATTATGTTTTGTTATGCAATAAAAATTAATAATAATAATAATAATAAAATAAATATTTGTAATTTATTAGTATTATTTATCAATTTTTGCACTTCGTTCTGATTTTTTGAAAATCAATTCATTAACACCTTACCTTGAATTGAGAGGGTGAACGATAATTGTGTTGGGGTTCAGAAAGGGTTAAAATATTTTGGGAAAATTTTTAAATTGATCTTACATTATCAAGAGTATTGCAGATTTTTCTCTCAAATTTATAATAAAGCATTTTTAAAATCTTAAAATGTTTAAAATTTAAAAATGCTGATTGATCTGGCAGTATATTATATTAGGGACAGTTTGATCCCTGGAGTTTTGCAATGCTCTCCTCGGTGTTGCATTTTATAATAATTCTTCACATAAACAATTAATATTAGTTTTAAAATTGACCTGCAACTGTCAATAAAAGCAAACATTTGTATTAACTGTCAAAACACTAAAACAAAATTTTTAAAAAATTAAACAATTTGACGCGATTTAAACTTCTGATTTTGAGTGATTTTAAAATATTCTTACAATACAATAGAACAGTAAGTAAGACTTTAATATATTACACACACAAAATTAAAATTAATTCATTATTTGCAATTAGGCAAGGTTCAGCACTAAGCACCCGAGAAAAATTTTCAGTGTTTTTGGAAGATGCTTTTGCTGATATCAGATAAGGAAAGCAGTTAAGTACATAAGAAAGACACAAAAATTTTATGAAAGACAGGTTTATACATCTAGTGGTGTCCTCTAATATTAAAAATGTTTCAACAGAAAAATGAATTCCGATATATTCTAATGTGAGAAGCCAGGGGAGTAGTCTAAACCCCTTTTAACAGCAATGGTTTGGTGAAGACCGCTCACGTCATTGGATGGCTATTTAAAATAGGAGGACTATAATTCGAGTGGGGAGCGCAATCGGTAAGCCGATAGGGTGATCCTTACTCCAAATAATGACAGGTTGACATGTTAACTAAATAATAAGTTTAATAGAAAAATAAAGCATAAGATACAATATACAAGTGTATAATAATCAGATATATCGGAATATATTGATTATGGGTGTAAGAAAACAAAAACAAATGAGGACTGTACAATGGCACTTTGAATGAAATTTTCTTTTAATAACAATTCGTAATTCATTCCATTATCGGTCTGCCTTACATAGGTAGGTAGATATTGTGAATACAAAGAGAAAAAAAAACTTACTTCTAAATTCTAAGCTAAAACGACTTAATTCTATATACAATCATTTACATGGTGGTACACACGTGTTGCTACTATACTCCTTTGTTCTCAGTCCGATCTCCTTGCACGTCTCTGCTCGCTCGTCCGTCCGTCCTTGTAGCACCATTCCAACACGAAAAGAGAGAGAGAGAGTTCTTGCACACACGAGACAGTCTCCTTTTATACCCCTCTTCACGTGACCTTTTGTTCTCCACCAATCAGTCCGCCCCCCCCTTGCGCAGCAATAGGAGTGACCTGACATAGTCTTCCGCGTACAATCACACAAAGAAAACAAAACATAGTTCTTGACACGTGGAAATTCATTTACACAAATTATAATAAAATGGAAGAGTACATAAATAAAAAACCAAAGTAGCGTAGCACTACATACCTCCCCTGCAAAGACTACTTCCCAAAATGTAATTTGCGGAAGTCTGGCCTTCTTCCCCTTAAATTATACGGCCTCTCACTACACGTCATCCCTTCCGGTTCACCCCCCTCAGGTCCACTAATGTCATGGGAACGTTTACCAATGCACTTATTTCTAACCACACGTTGATCAAGAATCTCGTCCTCATCTTCTGTTATCACCTCTCTTACGTTTCTCTTCCTTCCTAACCTCCTTTTAATAGGTTTTATCCACCCATAGCAAGGTTTAATACGGTCAACATGGACCGTTTCCACATCCCCACGATTGCAACCTTCCACGCGGTAAGTTGTGGGATTTATCACCTTGGTGATACGGAACGGGCCCGCATAATTGTCAGAAAACTTCTTCTTGACCCCACTTCTTTTCACCCATACCTTTTGACCTTCATTAAATCTCATTAACTCTCTTCCCTTATTCCTAAAGTCACGACTCTTCCGATTTTTCTTTCTTGCGTGATGCTCCGCTAGTTCTCTCAAAACGCGAAACTTTGTAATGAGAAATGATCTACGCTCATCCGTGGTCATACATCTAGGGATGTAATCGATGTTCGGAGCCCTTGGGTCAGTCCCAAATAAAAGGAATGCTGGCGACTCATTGGTGGTGGAGTGATAAGAATTATTGTACGCGAAGCAGGCAGATGGGATTAGATCATCCCATTCCGCACCATCATCACTTGATGACTTCGCGATCATATCGATTAGGGATTTATTAACCCTCTCACATATACCATTAGCACACGGTCTATAAGCTGTCGTCACATTACGCCTACTTCCCAACCACTTACAACAATCCATGAAAAGTGATGATAAAAAATTTGTGCCTCTATCCGATATTATTACCTCCGGAGCCCCAAACCTACAAACAATTTCATCAAAAAGTACATTGCTCACAGACCATGCCGTCTGATCCTTCATCGGATGAGCCTCTACGAAGCGCGTGAAAACATCGATAATAACGAGTATGTAGCGATTTCCCTTCTTTGACGTATGAATGGGACCTATCACATCAACAGCGATCTTTTGAAAAGGGGCGCTAGCTGTTTCATTCTCTTGAAATGGGGCCCTACCCTTGTGGATATTATACCGTTGACACTCTTCGCAGTCTCTTACTACCTCCTCAACCTTACACCTTAGGTTCCTTATAAAGTACGTTCTCTCTATATTTTTAACGGTTTTTAATACCCCCCAATGCCCCGAGAGTTGGTTTTTATGGATCGCTCTCACGAGATCTTTTGCTAAATTTTCCCCCACGCACACTTGGTCAATGTATTGGTTACGGGACTTCAAGTATCCCTTTTTGTACAAACAATCATTCATTACCACATACTCAGACGCCTCAATACCTATCCTATCGTAACCATTACTTCGTAGTATGTCTCTTTTTATAGGACCAAATACACTATCACAGTCCTGTGACTGGCAAATTTCATACCTGCTCGGGATCTCCTCCCTTCCAGATCCTACCTCTATGTGATTCACGCCATTCACATTCCTGGACAGAAAGTCTGCAACAACATTATCAACACCTTTTATGTGTTGTATTTCAATTTGATAGTCCATAAGTTCCATAACCCAACGGGTTAGTCTGCGACTACCATTTTGAATGTTACCCATGAAAACTAATGGTTTGTGATCAGATAATATTATAATCCTTTGCCCCAAAATTAAATATTTAAAGTGCCTCAAGGCTAAGACTATCGCCAGACATTCCTTTTCTATGGTCGAATAATTCAATTCAGCCCCCCGAAACCTTTAGCTATAATACCCTATTGGGGCTAACTCCCCACTACGTTGTTGTTCGAGGACTGCGACAGCAGCTTTATCAGAAGCGTCTGTGTGTAGATAGAATGGTTCTTTGAAATCAGGGTGGGTAAGGATCTGTGAGTTAGCAATAGCATACTTTAATTTCTC